GGGTGTGGAGGGGGGGGGGGAGGCTGGCCTGGGGAGATTGGGAGGAGGAGGACTGGAGAACCAACCTCTGGAAGCAGGGCTGGACGGGGGCAGCAGGGTTGGATGGGGGAGATCGGGAGGAGAAGCGGGGGTGGAGGGTGCGAATCGGCCGGCAGGAAGCGGGACTGAGCCGGGTACATGCAGACCCGGGCACACGAATGATACACCTCATAATAATAACACTTACCTAATTAGAAAATACCGGACATTTTATTTGTCTGGTATTTTCTCAATTTGTTTCCCGGACAGAATCCTCAAATACCGGACTGTTCGGTACAAAACTGGACACCTGGCAATCCTACGCTTCCTTGCACCCTACTCCTAGAAAGATACTGCCCCCTTCCCAATCTGATCCTGCTCCCGCCTCCTGGAGTGCCTATGCGGCACTGGGTCCCCCAAGCCCTGGCCCAGGCTGGGCGGAGGATGCAGCCGGGTGAAACACTGAAAATTTATTCATTTTTAATTATTTTTTTATATGTGTTTATATTTTTGGGCTGCAAAAAACAGTACTGAAAAAAATGGGTTTCAACTAAAGTAAAAAGTTTGGGAAACACTGGTCTAGCCAGCTTTCTATCCATCTTACAGTCCATTTATCCAATCCATATTCCCTTAACTTTCTGGTAAGAATATTGTGGGTGACGATATCAAAAGCTTTGCTAATGCTGGCACTGAGGGCTTTGGGAGGACCAGAAACAACGTATCTGAATATTCATAATTTGCTTAATGAATATGCAAATGAATGTTACCGGTCCCCCAAAAGCTTGTGAATGGATTTACTGGTCCCCGTGTCAAAAAGTTTGGGATCCCCTGTCTTAGTGGAGGCAATTAAGGTTACAAGTGCAACCTTAGTTCTGGAACATATCCTAACTTTTAGGGGGTTAATTTTGCAGCCTTAATGTTCTTGTAACAGTTTTTGGGAGTGAATAATAATTAGTGCTATGAGTGAAGTGTTATGGGATGGAAAGCATGATGATTGTAAAATTATTGTATTAGAAACTAATCACCACCTTTTCTTTATGTATTAGCTGCCCTCAGCCAGTCCAGTGGTTTAGCAGCAAAGTTTGTGATCCATTGTCACATCCCACAGTGGGGTTCAGACAAATGTGAAGAGCAACTTGAGGAGACTATTAAAAACTGTTTAACAGCTGCAGAGGACAAGAAGTTAAAGTCTGTGGCTTTTCCCCCCCTCCCCAGTGGCAGGTATGAATCTTTATCCAAAAGCGGCTAATATATTATTGTAAGGGGCAGCTGTGGCAGGTAGGGGGTTTATCATAGAGGTTAGATTCTATTTCCATTGAAGTCAGTGGTGAAACTCCAGTTTGGCTTCAGTGGTGCAGGGGCGTGGGTGTAAAGTGTTTCTTCATACCATTTTACTCCAGAAGCATCATTTTAGCATGAAGTTATTAAAAAAACCCTTTATAATACATTATGTAGAACATAATCTAATAAAAAGGAGACTCAAATTGGGTAGTTAAAAAATAGGGCATACAAGCTATGTTTTATGTTGTTGGTGAATACTTCTCTTTGGGTCTGATTTACAGCTGCATTACTTCAGTTTTATGCTCCCTAATGTCACAGTGGTTTTACCCACAAAAGCTCATGATACCGTCTACATGTTTTGTTAGTCTTTAAAGTACTACTAGACTATTTGTTGTTTTTAAGTTTTTCTTGTTACAGACTGAGCTACCCCTCTGAAGCTACCCAAAATAACTACCCTGCACCTTTGAAACACACCCGTTATTTTGAAATAACAGGCACACTATTTCAGCATTCCCTGTAACCCTCATTCCACGAGGGTTAAGGGATGTGTTGAAATAGCGCATTACGTCAAAATTTGGCACGGTGTAGAGGAGCCAAATTTCAAAATAAGCTATTCCAAAATACAATCGAAATAAGATACACAATTAGCGCAAATTGTGTATCTTATTTCAAGTTTAGGGCGCTGTGTAGACATGCCCTTAGTGTCAATGCCAGCATAAAATTGGACATAAACAATAGTGAATCTACTTGACCATTCCAATGCCTGAGCAGTGTGATAGAAGCAGGTAAATATTGCTTTGTTATAGGTTTTCCCCAAGAGAATCTATTAAACAAAACATTACAAAATATTTTCTTTTAGATAAAAATTGTTTTGTTTTTAAAGTGTGACTCTGCTCTGAAAAAACTGTAAAAATCATTGTGGGATTGCAGGTCTGTCTCCCAATAATTTGCATATCAAATGTGCTTGGTTGACAAGTATAAAACAGTGTTTTGTTATTTTAACTACCTGCTCACTAACCTACTTTGGACTGTCAATAACAAAGCTTATGCAAGCCAAATTAAGCCTAAATTTACACTTATGTAACCCTGATGTCTGCAGCAGATACCCTTATACTTGCACAACCTGTTATGATTAAGTTTGTAGAGTTTTAAATGATTGGACTGAAGTACACAATTTCACTGGTTTCTTTCAAGAGTAGATGCTATCCTACTCTCTCACCGTGTTGACTTGTGTTAATAGGAATAAAAAAAAGGTTAAAAATAATTTTATAATTGTAACCTTTACATTTGAAAAAACATTTATAGTTTTCAAAATAGTGTAATGTCCATTGTGACCCTAGTCTTTTCTTTAGAGAGCTTGTTCATATATTGCCTATGCTTGGACCACACCCCTCAAGTACTCAGGACTGCAGTTTTTGCCCAGTAGTGTCCATTGGGCAGCATATGTAGCAACTGTCCTTGTGCTTCTGGCCTAAAGATATAAGGGGTGGAAGGGCCCAACTGCCATTTCTTTCAGTCCATGGCTGAGCCAGAGGCCCCATGTCAACCTCTCAATGTATCATTTCTTTCACAAACGCTAAATGTAATAGGTATTTATTAGCATTCATTAGGTTAGTTAGTGTTAGTTAGATAATTACCTATTGAACATTCTGAATAGGCTATCTTCTGTTGATAGTTTTTATGTTCCTTTATTGTTTTCCTGAGATCTTTTCTCTGTTAACAGACTTAGAGATGTCACATTCCTAAATCACATGCTTTTAAATATTGCCTCTCTTGTGAGACAGCATCTCCTCTCTCTCTCCTGATCTCTTTTTTTATTTGGGGTAATCCCATATCTCCACTAAATGGTTGGTATACAAACCCTTTTCTAAAAGGACTTTAAAATCTAGAGAGGCAAATCTCAAAATGATTTTTATTAGGCTGCTTCATGGGACTGGACTCTGATCTAAGCATAGTTGGACAAGTTCCATCATAATCCAGAAATGCCCCAGTGAATTATAGATTCACTAGATTCAAGGCTCCATCTTCAGATTCTGGTAGGATGATTATTAAGTCCTCAGAAGAAAAGGAGCATCGCTGCTCTGCTAAAGCGAAAGGAACATCTGCTGTGGGAACTTCTAAGAAAAAGTCTAAGTCTATATATTGCTCCCAGTCAGAAGAGGCTCCATGGCCCAATTTGAGTACTGTGGGAGCTCAGAGGGAGAATGGTGTGAGACTTTGGTATTGTGTCACAAACCGAAGTCAGCTGCCTCAGTACTAGGGCATCGGAGATTATTTGGGCACTCACCACGGCTTTCTCCAAGTGAAAAGGACCCAAAATCCCTTGATGTATTTGGTCATGAGTGATTCTCTACCATCTTACAGTTCAGACTTTTGCATTATCAAGCATTGTTGGTGGTTGTTTTTTGAACTAAAACCAATTTTTGGATTTTACCAATAAACTACGTCAGGAAAGCAGAGAGAGAAATTTAAATCTTTAATTACAAAAGGAAACAATATATAGAGCATCCTTAGAGGTGCTTCTAACTCATCTTTGCAATCCACAGAATCACTAGAAATTATGGGATGGCACCCTGGGCTCAGGGTTTTGACAGACAACTGGGGAGGGTCTTCTTTTTGAGAGCTTGAACCTTCTTAGCTTTAGGACTGCTGACATGCTCCACACATGGAAAGATTCCCAAATCACACTTAGGCTATGTCTAGACTGCAAGCCTCTTTCGAAAGAGAGCATCTAGACTGCACGTTGAACTTTCGAAAAAGCGGCTTGCTTTTTCGAAAGAAAGCATCCAGTGAGTCTGGATGCTCTCTTTCGAAGAAGCCCTATTTACATTGAAGAACGCCTTCTTTCGAAAGAGGAACTTTCGAAAGAAGGCGTTCTTCCTCGTGAAATGAGGTTTACCGCCATCGAAAGAAAAGCCGCGTTCTTTCGATTTAATTTCGAAAGAACGCGGCTTGAGTCTGGACGCAGGGGAAGTTTTTTCAGAAAAAGGCTACTTTTCCTGAAAAAAACCCTGAGTCTGGACACAGCCCTACTGTTTTAGGGTTCATACACCTGCTGCCAAGAGAAAACAAGTCCCTGAGTTCTCATTCAGTATCATTTCAGACTTCCATTTGAATTAAATTGATCTGCCTACTAGTATTCTTTCCCAAACCACATTCTAATCAAGGAGCCTCTGGGTCGCACACTTTACACGTTTGCCTCAGCATTTTGCTTTCGTGTTAGCTGACAGAATGAAAATGTTAACTGATTTCAGGCCAGTGTACAGGTTCAGGGTGCATTAACTAATTTAGGATCCCCAGGTACATAAGAGCCTGTTCTATGGTGGGCACTGCCACCATCTGCTGCTTCCATGCAAAATAGTCTCACTTTGGACATCTTTAAGGCATCTATAGGATTTAGTACATACTTTTACCAAGCATTACTCCATAGTGGAAGCATTGAGGTCTGATTCTTCCTTTGGAAGAGCTGTACTTCAATCTTTATTTAAAGTGGACTCTGAGCACCCACCTCCACACATCGGATCACTACTTGGAAGTGAACAAGAACAGAATATATATGACAAGGATTTGAAGAAGAAAAGTTTCTTACCTTTACAGGTAACTGGAGTTCAAGATATATTAGTCATATGTATGTTGCCTGACCTACCTACCTTTTCCACTGCTCTGGAGTCTTTTATTGCACTGGGATTCAGCAGTGGTGAAGGAACTGAATGACAGTTAGGCCCACACCATCCTTTGTCTTCCATATGGGAGCATAAGAATATGCAGGGCATACGTGCAGATCCCACAGACACTGCTAGCCAAGATACCAATCTAACTGCATAGGGAACATGCACACCAAGAGTGGAATATATATGGACAAACCATCTCAAATAAAAAAAAATAAGATAAATACTTTTACTTTCACTTACTATTAAATTTGAGAATGCATCCTGCTAAAGCAAAGGAACTAATCCTGAGAATTCTAGCCATACCAAGTTTCAAACATTTTTCCTATAGTTTTGTTCAAAAGAATGTTAGGGATTTTTACTGGCTTTTTTTTTTTTTTTTTTTTTTTTTTTTAAAAATAGCGGTGATGTTGCGGTTTGTTTTTTTATAGTGAGAAAGTATTTTTTTCCACTTCCTTTTGAGTAGGGGAGAAAAGTTCTTTGAACTTCTATGCTTAAAAAAAAAAGTAGGCCTAGACCAGTGATGGAAAAAGTCAACCCTAAAAATGAACATTTCAGAAAGATGTGTGAAAACAAATTATAAAACTATTTTGCAACATTATACTCACCAGCAAAAGTTATTATAATACAGTGTTATTGAGTTCATGTTGCTATGAAAACCTAGAGTTTTATTTCTTGTGTGTTTTATTCTTGCAACTAGCATTGCATTAATTCAGGATTTGTATTTGTGTGTGTGTGTATGCACACATACATATACACACTCATTTTGCAAATGCATTTTATTCTTTTTTGTTCTTTTCAGTGTTATGAGTAGTGCTTCCATGCACTATTATAATGACTGAATTTGAGACTAACTTCCGTCTTTTCCTTTTCTTCTTCTTTACATAGAAACTGTTTCCCAAAACAGACTGCAGCCCAGGTGACTCTCAAAGCCATTTCTACCCATTTTGATGACACTAGTTCTTCCTCCTTGAAGAATATTTACTTTCTGCTCTTTGACAGTGAGAGCATCGGAATCTACGTGCAAGAAATGGCCAAGCTAGACACCAAGTAGCTATGGCAGCCAAATGAAACTTTCTTTTTCAGCATAAATTTGAGTAGCATTAAAAGAATTAGAGGTGGGTTTTATTTTTAAAATGTGGCAAAGAGGGGGAATGTTAGTAGTTTGATGTTTTGTGAGTTAATGGAGACCTTTGCTATGGAGGAGAGGGTTTAGTCTGTGATTAATTCTTGCTATACACACCCTCTACCATTTTATATCACCTTAACGAAATCTTGAGTAGTTAATTTGCCAGCTCTCTTCAAGTTTGTTTAAATGTGTCTTGCTTTTTTAGTTTAGGACTCATTTTAGATTTGTAGCTTTGAATTTTACACACAAATTCTTTGTCCCCTTTATTTTTTGAGGGTGAATGGCAAATTCTTTTTTGGGGGGTCTACATTCCATGTTGGAGAGAGAATTTTAAAGGTGTACTTGGACCTTCTATTTTGTTTTATCCCATAATAACTTCTGTAATTACTGAGAATATTTCATCTTGTTTTTTGTTTTATAAGAAAAAAAAAGAAAATGTGTCAAGTGTACTTATTATCAACCATACCCTATTGCAGACACTTTTGCCATAAAATCAAAGTCAGCACTATCCCTGAGGGGTGGAAATATTTGATATGTGAAGCTTTGGCATACAGATAGTACCAAATTTGTGGCCACAAAATACTTCCATATAAGAGACATTGAATTAGACCAGTGGTCACCAACTAATAGATCAGGATCTACCCATAGATCTTAGAGCCTGTGACAGATGATCCTGATTGGTTTGGCTGGGAAGCAAGCTATCAACTTCTGGCACTTCAGTTGCCCCTCCATCCACTGTGCTCCCCCAGGCAAACGGCCTATCCCTTAAGCCACTCCAGAACCCAGCCCACCTTCCTACCTGCCCCTTATCCTGCTTTCCTAATGCAGGAGTCAAGTCCAACCCTGGGGCAGCCTTTGTTGGCTGTTCAGCTGCTGCCTGGGTGGATGGAGATGGGTTGAGCTCATCACCCTGTGCTCCAGCAGTTGATGCCCTATCCCCAAGTACACTGGAGATCCCCCTCCACCTGTTCCCTTATCCTGTTTTACAGATGTGGGAGCCAGCTCCATCCCTGGAACAGTCTGTATTGGCTGTTGGGTTGCTGCCTGGGAGGGGGGGGGGTGGAGTGAGGGCCGGGAGGATTCTAGTCTACCACCCTGTGTTCCAGATGCTGATGCCCTATCCCCTAGGCCACTCCAGAACCCAGCCCACCTCCCTACCTTTGGGACATCCCTTATCTTGCTTTCCTAATGCAGGAGCCAGCTCCATCCTTAGGACAACTGGTGTTGGCTGCCAGGGCACTGCCTTAATGGGTGGGGGTAGGGCTGGTGGGGACTCCAGTCCATCTCCCTGTGCTCCAGCCACTGATGCCCTATCTATCCCCTACTCCATTCCAGAACCCACCCCCTCCCTGTCTTCAGCAGGTCCCTTATCTTGCTTTCCTAATGCAGGAGCCAGCTTCATCCCTGGGGCAACCTGTGGTGGCTGTCCAGCTGCTCCCAGGGTGGGTGGAGGAAAGGACTCAAGCCCCCAACTTTGCACTCGCCAAGCAAAATGCCCAATCCCCCCTACTCCACTCCAGAACCCTCCCCACCTTCAGGGTGTCCCCTCCCACATTCTGAACCCTTTGGCCCAAGACCAGAGCCTGCACCCCAATCCCATACCCCAGCCTGGTGAAAGTGAATGAGATTTGGGGAGGAAGGAGTGAGCAGGATGAGGCCTCAGAGAAGGGGGAGGAAGAAACCAGGCCAGGGTATTTGGGTTTAAGGTAAATCTTACATTGCACTTAAATTAAAAAAGTGATCCTGTGATTAAAAGGTTAGAGACCACTAAATTAGACCCTGTGTGGAGTTCTGCCAGGTACCGGTAATAGGGTGCAAGCCTATGCACCGCTTCAACATAGCAGCCCTGTGTTCTGAATGTGTCTCAAGGCCAGACTCAGAGTATTATTGTCTTGAAGACTTAGGCAATCCAAGGCCTTCCCTTGGGCTATACATTCTGCAAAAGCAGATCTATGTTGTGAAGAGATAGGATTTGGTGTTGGTGTGAACCAAACTAAGGAAAAATAGCAAATGAACTTGCAGAGATAAAGTGTCACATTTCATTCCAAAAAGAGGGCTGACGGACAAAAGTGAATGGACTTTTAAAAACAGCATGTTCTGCTACTTAATTTTAAATCTATTTAAATTGAATTCCTCTGATACATCGTAGCACATGAACTGAGTGTTAAAGTTTCAACAAGAAATACAGTTTGTGTTGATCTACTTCAAAAAGAGTGTGCTTTGGCATTTATGATACATGATTTGGTGCAGTATTGGTATCAGTCAAATAGCCGTGTAGCTTGTGTCATTTTCCAGCTTTGTTAATGCCAGTTGATAACAGCTGTTCCCTTGCCACTTCATCACTGTTCTTTCTATCTAGCAGGGCATAGTCTGTCCCATAGTCTTCCAGCTCTTAGAAACAAAAAGGTCCCGACTCTTGGCAATAGTCACCAGGAGATGTCCCACATAGCATCCACTAATTTGGCCAACCCCATCATTCCGGCCCATTGACAACAGGAAAGTTAGTGACCCTAGAAATGAGAAATATAGACAGCAGTCAAAAAAGTTGCAAATAAAATTAAACAGCATGATGATCAGCACCCATGTACTTCACAGTATAATGGGACCAAGTTACATGGTAAGAAATACAAGAGATTTTTTGTCTGATACTCTAGAATGCCCAGGACTATGGGATTCAGTCATAGTGTTTTCTAGGCAGCCGGTCTTAGAATCTCTTCCCCCGTGTATGCCAAGGAAGTGGGAAGCTTATCAATTTCAGCAGTTCATCTTTTCATCTCCAGGGACCTCAACCACTTCAGTTCTGTTCTCTGGGTAGTCTAGCTGTTTAATCTAGCCACTTCTGGTTCCCAGATCGCACATAGACTAATTCTACATAACAAAGAAAACATTATTTCTACCTCATACAGGGAAGAAGGACTTCCAAACAGGTCCTTCAGGGCCAGGAGAAGAAACAAAATGTTTGGTACAAGGCTGTAGTATCTTGGACAAATGCTTAATTCCACAGCTGTGGAACCACTCCCTGAACTAAATCGATCAATTCACAAATCATATTCAAATGCTCCTTGCAGGCTTAGATGGGCATCAGCTGCACTCAATTCACATTTTTAACATCTTTCCACAACCATAGGGGGTAGATGCTATTTTTATTATTATGAAAGCTGAGATTCTGGAACACAGTTTGCCAACAGAGGGAAAATTTGGCCAATGTCAAGGAACCACAGAATACACAGGACTGACTGATGATGATTTTGCAGTGTTATATCCTTTAACCTTATAATTTGGAAAAAGCGTGGAAGGTGAAACAAGATAAGCTTGTTATCGCCCTCTCTTTAAAACCAGTTATCCTTCAGGCAACAGATGTTTCCATTTATAGATGACTGATTCGTATCTTTTACATGGAGTTACACCAATGAATTCAATGGAATTATTCCTGATTTAGAGTTACATAAAATCAGAGGAAAAATTAGGCACTGGTAAACATTCACACAAGAAATGCATGATAAAAGACTATTCATGATTTTGCAGGCTCAGGTCATAAGAGTTTTAAGTCATGATATTTTGTTGTTCCAATAATTTAATATCAGTTTGATAAACAAATCATTAAAATAATGGCTTCCTTTATAAACTGTAACCACCATGTCCTCCCACCAATGCAACAATAAATCAGTCAGAAGCAAAGGGGAAGAATATTTCTAAGTACTGAATAATCAAATAGTGTGCTTATTTTGTCAGTGAAATAATATTCAAATCCAAATTCTTTCATCTCTAAATACAGTTCTGTACAAGTTATAGAATTACTTTGTAAGAAATCATATAGAGATGAAGAAAGGATCTCCTCAGTTAAGACTTGTTATGCACAGTTTTACCTGGCTGGTAGGTTTTAAGCGGTTTCTGTGTCAGACTGTTAATGATGTTTGTCACCACAATATTGGCATGGAGCCCAGCATGGTATGCCATCTTTGGTTCCTTCACATCAGCACAATCGCCGATAGCATAGATGTTATCATACCCTTCCACCTGTAGGTACTGGTTGACTTTTAAAGCACCATTACTCGCCAGCTTCTCCCCTGTTTAAAAAAAAACAAAAAAAGTGCATCACCTCTGAACAACAATGCATATCCAGTGACACAGAGTACTCAGGTGAATCACTACTAAATAGTTAATGATATAGCTATTGATAGAGTAGTTGTGTAACTTATGTTTGCCACTGCAAGAGAATGACACTTGCCTTATAAGTCACTCCTATGTGATGCATAATAAATCCTATTTGATGCTTCAGCTGGTACTATCACCGGAGAGCCAACAACGTATGCAAACCAGGAAAAGCCTGGAACCAAGTCTTCAGCCTAGTGTAAAGAGGCACAGCTCAGTTGAAGTCAGTGGAGCTATGACAACTTACACAAGTCAAAAACCTGACATGAAAATGCTGACTTTTGTTTTCAGCTAGGTTCTCTAAATTGACTTTCAGGGCTAGAATGAAAGGGTGGCCTGAATAGATTTGATTGTTGAAGAATAATTACCACTCCTAGCTTTGTCAAATGGTATCTAGTCATTCTAGTGAGACTCACAGAATTTCAGATCTGCATTATAGCACATTAATGCTAACCTATTCTCATCCCTGCTCCTATTTTCAGGCACCTATATAGTTCTGGGTGATGAGTTATACTTTGCACTGAATTTTTTTATTGAAATTTCTCAACTAAATGGTAAGCTTGGGGGAAACTTTAAATAAAACCTCTGAACTTTTCTCCTCCTGAATGACTCAATTACCCTTTTAAAGCAGTAGATAAAGAATGGGGTTCATCCTGTGAAGACAAGTGCCTTTCAGATGCTTGAAGGAATTTCTTTTGAAAGTTGTTCATTGTATGTGTACAGCATACTAGTTTCTATTTTAGCCACACAGGATACATAGTTCTCCAGATACACAACTGAAACACAGTTGGAGCCAGACTATAGATCTTCCTTGAATAGGCAGCAGTTGCTCCCCTCAATCCCTGTTGCATATTCAAATACCGTAATTAAGTTCTGCCAGAAATTGTAACTGGTACAATATAAACATTTCTATTGCTATCTAAAGGAACAATGGATTGAGGGCATGCAAAATTTGAACTGCATGCTTGTTAAAAATCACACACGTAAGAAAATGTATAATCACACATGCACTGCACTAATTCTCTCATTTTAGGTCTTCCCCTTGAAAACATGGAAGGCAGACAAGTAATATTTAGTATATGACAACTGGCTTTTCATTTTAAAATGTAAAATACTTTAATTGAAACATAATACCCTTAGAATTATTCTGTTGCATAGGTTTTTAAATAATTCACCAAGTAGGATTAGCTGATCACCAGGGCGCAGATTCTGAAATGGCATAAAGTCTCATAAGTCCACTGACTTCACTAATAGCTAATGATCTGCACTCAGGCACTTTACTCAAGTGGAGAGTTCTACAAGTGTTACAGGCCTACTGCTAAGAAACATAATACCCTTAGAATTATTCTGTTGCATAGGTTTTTAAATAATTCACCAAGTAGGATTAGCTGATCACCAGGGCGCAGATTCTGAAATGGCATAAAGTCTCATAAGTCCACTGACTTCACTAATAGCTAATGATCTGCACTCAGGCACTTTACTCAAGTGGAGAGTTCTACAAGTGTTACAGGCCTACTGCTAAGT